AGCTTTGATCTCCGCCGTTTGTTTTGAAAACCAGCGGTTTATTCGCATGTATCTCTACTTTATATTTGCGTCGGAACGTGAGCACGGCGTGCTTTTGCAGAAATCGCAAATTCCGCGCAAATTCCGCGCACATTAAAAAAATCCTCGGGCGTCGTCGGCGTCGTATAGAAATTCCGAGCGTCACACACAACCAAAACCCCCGCTAATTAAAGAATATCGCTTTTATTACTCGCCAACGCGCTGGCTTCGTCGACACTGGCAGCGTCGACGTCAGCGTCGTCGAAACGGAGGCGAATTCTCGTATCGAGTTACGTAAAAACGGATCAGCGGTTTAACAAAGGATCGAGATTGAATTACGTTTCGTCTTTTTGACCATTCCCAGCGCGTTTGAGATTACTCTCGTGGCTCTGCTATTAACACACGCGCGCGTATGTTAATAAAAGAAAATTCTCTCTCTCTCTCTCTCTCTCTCTCTGTCTCTTTCTCCCGTTGTCCAAATCAATCGATTGTCAATTTCCACACGGATCTCCGGCGAATCGATATTCGCGCGACTGCGCGTGTTTATATAAATGAAGACCGGGGTTTTCGGTCGCTCGGATTAAAAGCGCGCGCGCGTGTGTGTGTAACGTGGAATCAATTGTCAACTCCGGACTGGCGGAACCTGTGTCCGACTCCGCTAACGTACAACGGCCGAAACCGTATACGGATCGTTCCCGGGCTGGATCGAACCCCTTGGACCGCTCGTAAGGGGGTGTTTAATTGCTCCGTCGCGCCGTGTACGACGCGCGGTTGCAATTAAACTCCGTCTACGCAGAACATCGCAACTATGTACACAAATGGCTAGGCATTTTCTCCGTGTTAATGTCTCGTTGTGTGCGAGAGTGTGTATTGCTTTTCCGTTCGGCGTTGTCAATGACATAAATAAATGTACAAAGAGAAATTGATATTATTCCCGTTTGATATATCTAACGCCCGCGAAAATCTTATTATTATTTAGCTCTTGTGTGCGCGTACACACATATATAGAGAGAAGCTCATTTATATTTCGTGAAAGTGCATTCCATCCGCGTATCGTATGGGTGAATTTCCGCGGCGGCATCGTGCGGCGGCTGTGTATTGCGCACGGTGGAACTAATGGCAAATTGTAATTTTCAGTGAACCAAGTCCCGTGATTCAGAGAGAGGAACGAGAGAGAGAGAGAGAGAAGAAAAAGAGAGAGTGAGTGAGAGAGAGAGAGAGAGAGAGAGAGAGAGAGAAAGCGTGTGTCCTGTTACAATTTGAATTCCAATCTCGCCTGTTTCGCAGCGATCGCTTTACATCGGGATAACTAGACTCGTTCAATTATTGAGCGAAATGCATTTGTTCGGTAACGGCTACATTAATGGCAACTTCATTATACATGCTACCGTGGGGTATATACAATGGGGAATAACGTTTCATCACGAAGAGGAAACCTTTTCATCACAATGTCCCTTACACACGATAGATGCGCGCCGCCGACGCCGTTTTACTATTATTACTTTACATTAGCGCAATCCGATCGTTCGAGGATCGCTCGACGACAAATTATGGCGCTACCACGAGACGTAGTACCCCCGCGGGCTACGAAATCAATTGTCAGCCGCAATTTCCTGCTAGGCAACGCCGCTATAGTGGATTAAGACCCCCCAAGTGATTCGAATCGGGACTATCACACTTACGTCCGGGTGCGTTCGATTGGTTCTAAGGCCCCCTTTAATTGCTCGATTCGGCGGCAATTGGAACTTACGCGAAGCGAACGGTGTGGATTGGGGAAAAACAGGATTGCGCGCGTACACATTACAGAAGATCGATCAATCTGCTTACGAAAACATGACGAAACACGTAAGAAAAGTAATGAGAACAAAATTAGAGTATCTTGCGATATTCGATATCTAAAAGCGATCACTTTCTTTCTCTCTTTCTCTCTCCTTCTTCTCTCTTTATTTCTATCTGTCTCTAAATCCCAGGAGAATGAGACGAAACAAAAATAAATGCGGGAGGGAGGAAGGGTGGGCTGTAAGTTGTGACATCGGAAATCGTTAAAAATTGAAACCATCGGGCGCCGCCAGACGATGCGGTGATAAATCGCATCGTGGGAGAGGGGGAGTGTTTTAACGTCGGGGGGAGATACCGCGCGCCGCACAATGGATTCTTCGTTGCATATAAATCTAGCGTGGTGTCTTTGCGGGGCGAAAACCCACGGTGCATTTTCGCCGCGCGACCATCGATTTTATCGTTCGTCGCAAGCGCTAGTGTATCTCGGAGCACAATGCGCGCGAAGAGAATTTCGACTCGAGACGCGACTCCGATGCTTCTCCCGCGACTCATATCCCCGGTAAGTCGATCGACGCTTTTGCCGCATCATAAATCGTATCCCGCGCGATAAGTTCTTTACACGTCTCACGCCGTTTTCTATGGGAGAGCTTTTCGAGGATTCTTTCCCGGAAACATTTTATCCGAAACGTTTATAACGTCTTTCATCTATCAGATCGCGTCAGAATCTGTATCGCTTGTATATTTGCGCTAATTGCGCGAGAAACACAATTTATTGGAATTATTTTTCAAACCAAAACTGTAGTTAAACCTGTAATTAGCTTTTCCTCGTCGTCCCCATATCGTGCTTCGCGTGCTATTCGTTTAATCCCCCGATTCGTAATCAGATCAGTTAAGGCCCGAGTTTTCGCAGAATGTAAATTTCACTCCGTTTCTCTCCCCATCGGATATATATATATATAGTAGTTGAGGTTGAAACGTTTCTATCCCCCCGTCAAATCCTTTTGTCTCGGCTTGCTTTCCGGCGATAAGCGATCGACTAATTAGAAATCCTTGTTCCGCCAACAAGCGCGGCGTAACGACGGTATTATGATGTAACGGCGGCTTCAATGTAGCCAAATAGTAATCTGTCATTGGGACGGGGGGGAGGGGGGGGGTCCGTCCCCACGGGAGGGATCCAAAATCTTTCCGGACAAACCGATTTTGCGGGACGCCGCACGCGCTTCTGGATAATCCACGACTAATGAATTCTCTTGTCGCTTAATCGTCTTTCGCAATTGCGAACGGGAGAGAGAGAGAGACGGACGTTCGTTACCGACCGGAGTCGTTTGCAGCCGTAGTTGGTTTACAGTTACGAAGCGGAGCTCTTCGTAAGAGTTCAATTTAGCCACTGTAACGAGAAACCGAAGGAAAACTGCTTCGGAAAAAAGAAAAAAAAAAAACAAAGGACCGTTCGAATTAAGACCTTAAATACGTGTATGCGCGAAGCAAAATAATTTGAGGGAAAATATCGGAATCGCCGTAACGTAATTCATTCATGAACGTTTCTTGCAGTTCCGCGTTTGCAATTTACCATATCGATTTAACTTAAACGCGCAAGAACAAAATTGGAACCAGCGCATCTTGCGTTCCACTTCGCGTCTCCGGTAATTCCTTTCTTTGAATCTGTACCGAGGTCCAATTTGCCGTTCCGTCGTTTTACATTTACACATCGAATTCGTTTTCATTTTTTTTTTCAAAGAAACACGTGAGAAAACTGGAACAGTTCCTTCCCGTTTTAATTCCGTTCCGCGGCGACGTTTGCATAAAAGTTCTCTGACGTGGAAACACGTCACGATATTAGTTTGCTCTAAAAGCAGCGAGGGGATTGTTTGCGACAGCAACAACAACAACGTTCGCTTTTATCTCGACCGTTTTGCCGGTGCATTGTCGTAAAAATCTAAGGTGCAGTGTCGCAATTTGCATAGCTTATTTCCTCAGATTATGCGACCGCGGGGGGGACATTGTTTCACGCCATCGTTCGGAGAAATAAAAGTCTCGCGTTCCAACGTCCCGCATAATTCGCTCGTAAAGATAGGAACTGAGACGGTGCTTTCGAATGCTTCATAATGGCAGTTTCGAAGTGGTGCCTCTCCGCGACACCGTTATGTATTCATCAAGTCGCGACACTTTTTATGCGTTCTACGTATACATCTCTCGCCGCAAAATATCTCCCGCCTTTTTTTTTATTCTTCTTTTCGACTTGCACACAGTGGGATTAAACTCTCTCGCACATGTCACATTCTTCGGACGCGCTATCGTAAAAAAAAGAAAAATCTCGTTTCTTGAAAAAAAAATTTAATATTCTTGCTTATATGGCCAATCAACGTGTGTGTTCTCTTTCACGATGATATATTGTTATAAAAATATTGAATCCGCACGATGATACGGATTGTTTTACAACAGCGGATGTATGTTCTACATCCAATCAGATGTTTTTAACGAGAGCATTGTATGAAGAAAGGTTAACATAAACGATTTTTTCCACGCAATTTTTTTGAAAAACGCGGAAACACTATAATTCATTTTCCGCGCGGGAGCTCATTTTGGGAGCTTATTACGTGAATTTTTGCAAGTAATGAAGTTGCGACGGTGTCATAAAAAATTCTATGCAATATTTCAATTTTTGTCGGAGCTCGTCTGTGCGATGACTCGCGCGCGATGTCTGGGAGAGAGATATGTAATACCGGAATTATTTATCACGGAACGTCCGAGCGAATTCCAAATGTTCTCCGCGTGTAAAGCGATGTTGACGTCGTCCATAAAAAATGCCAGAGAAATTTCTACGTTTTTTCAACGAACGTGCGTGACGCGAATGAAAATTATTTGTAATCGCTCGGCGAGTATCAAGCGCGCGCGCGCGCGCGCGTTGTCATATCCCCCGCGTTGTTGAGACGGAAAAATTATTCGAATTTTTTAAGTGTTTTGGCGCGCGTAAAATTCGCGCGCGCACGTTTGCGGCGGCGTTTACGCGCAAATACATTTGTTTCGGAACAACCGGATGATTTTGTAATAATTTGCAGCGTCGCGCAACGGCCGCGTATATATATATATATATATATATATTCGCGCGGCGGTCGGCGTTGTGACGGTGATGCTCGCAGCACGCGCGCGAACCCCTGTAAACTTGTGCATATATTCAGATTGTTGTTATTTCTGTGTTTCAGGTACGTATATAACGGAGCCGGGATGAAACGCCGCCCCGTCCCTCCCGAATGTGACGTGTATGTCGTCCCGCGTAACGTGAGTGTGGTCAGTGTGGTCGGGCGGTGCCGAAGCGTTATAAACGAAAGCTCTCAGTTAATACTCTGTAAACGAAAGTAGAATGCAAAATAAATCGTTTACCACACACTACTCCACTTTTGCTCTCTGTTTTGTCTGTCTTATATATATGTATATATATGTGTGTGTGTATATATATATATATATATATGTGTATATATATATATTTTGTTGTCTCTTCTTCTGTTTTCTCACTTTGCGCTTTTCTACAAGCCGTCGTCGCCGCCACGTCATTACACGCACACTGAATTTTCACGCAACGCGATTATTCTTGATTACTTACGCAAACTCGAAGCTTGCAGCGTTATTTGCGTAATTAATACCAATATCGTGCGCGGTAGTTTCGCCTCGGCGCGCGCAACGGCCATTTCGCTTCGCGGTCGCGAATTCATTGAGTCGTTAATGCTATTCGATATTATTTCGCGAGAGAAAATCGGTGTAACTAATTTACGTTAATCTCGCCTCACGGTCTCGCACGTCACTTCGATTTGTGATACTTGTGCGCTCGCTCCGTATTGCTTAACGATTGCCGTCCGATAGAAATTTTAACCGGTTCGCTCGAACGCCGAGATTTTCAACGAGACTTGCTTCTCCGTTCTTGTTTGTTCAAAAAACGCCGACAAAAAACGAGAACGCGCAATCTCAACGCTTTGCTCCCGAATGTTCATTAGCAATTCTCATTATCTCGCTTCGCAATCAACGGATTCGAAAGAAAATTCAAGTGTTTTTTTGTAAAAAAAAAAAAAAAAAAAAAAAAAAAAAAAAAAAAAAACGAACTGCGGCTAATTTTATTGCGCTATTTGTATACTTTATAAAAATATATACGCTTGAACCAACTTGTCTAGAAATTCACTTGAAGTCAATCGCGTCGTCGTTCTTCAAATTGACAGCGAATCGGAACGCAGAATCCGGGCGGACGCTTATCTTTTGTCAGCGCATGACAAACGCCCAATTTCCTTGTCTTGAGCTCATTCATTTTGACGGCATTTGCATGGATCGCACTTCGGCGCGCCACATACACGTGCACGCACACAAAGAGACATACGCGCGTGCCTCAAGTAAGCGCGCGCGCGCGCGCTTCGTTATGAGCCGACATCGTTTGTTAAACAAGCGAGGTCGCGAAAAGGGAATTAGAACGCGAACCGACCAACAGTCGAGACGTGTGCTTCCCGTATTTTCGCAGGGAAAGGCGATACGGCGCCCCTTAAGTGACTTTATCCGATCCGATAGTCGCTCTCCACGCGCCCGGGAGTCGTACGTTTCGCTCGTCGGATCGACTTTCAGCCCCTTGCCGTGAGGGCTGCCGTGGGGGGAACCCGGCGAAGCGCACGGGTTAGATCTTATAGCCCTGTACAGGGCTGCTTAGATAAATAGGGCAGACGTGGAGCTCGGTGTTAGGGAACCGGGGATCCGAAGTGGAAAGTGGCGGTTACCGAGCTAAGCGAGACGCTTCAGACCAAAGCAGAAAGAGAGAGAGAGAGAGAGAGAGAGAGAGAGAGAGAGAAAAAGACGGAGGATGGTATAGAAAACAGGTCGTCGGAATGTCGCTGGATTTGATGGTCCGGAATAGACCCGTTATCCCGTCTCGGTCGATATTTCGTTCGCGAAATTCGCAGTAACGCGCCTACTATCGATCCTTCGATTCTTTTTTTTTTCTTTTTTCCCAGACAATTCTGTTCCGGCCGATCTTTTCCCGCGCGGCTTACACGCGTTTTCTCGTTTCTCGTTTTTCCAGAATAATTACAACAACCGATCGTAACTCTCGGCGACGATTACGCTCCGTTTTACCTGGATTTTTTTTTTTTTCGTTCGCGCGTATCCTCGAAATTTTTCGCGTCGTCGGCATCGAAAAGACACCGACGACGGTGTTTCTTTTTGCGAATTTTTCTCACGTTCGAAATACGTAAGGATTTGAAGAAAAAACGCTCTAATGGCTTGTTTTTTGACGAGATACAGGGATAAAACCGAGCTTAGATGGAATAATTCATGGAATTATTCGTTGTTTTTCGGATCGGAACAAACTGCATTGTGTCCGGCTGTGTGAAACACAGCGGGGGATTACGCATCGTGTGTTAACACACGCATGAGATACGCATTAAAATTTTATTCTCAACAACGCCGTTTTGTTCGCACCTTGAAGTCCGCGATTATATATTTTCTCGCGGTACATTCCGTAATCGCAACAATAGAACCATAAATTGGATATTTATGATATCGATGAAAGTTTGATTCTCAATTAAATAAATGCTCAGCGGAGCGGAATTGCACAGGCACCGGAACTGCATTACAGAAACCATTTAAAAGCTTTTGCTTTCAATCCATTCACTCGATTTCTATTTTCGTTTTACATCGCCGCGCGTTTAATGCACGCCGCGTAACGCGGTGCATTGCGGCGTCTCTATTGTTAATTCACAAGGGATGGAACACTATCCGCTTCGCGAGCTTGCGTCCGAAGTACAGTGCTTACCATCAACATCGGCATCATCACAATGACGTGCGCACTGAATTTTTAGTGCATTTGACGAGCTCGCGCAGATATCACGTGCGCGCGATGCATCGCGTTCGCATGTAATATCGCGCACGCGCTCGAACTCGATCTTTGTTCTACGTACAAGTCATCATCAAAAAAAAAAAAAAGCACGTTCACAATATATGTTGTGTGTGTGTGTGTGTGCGCGCGCGCGTGTGTAGAGAGAAGTCAAATAAACCGCAAAAAAATTCTCCATTCAATCCGAAAAATGTTGGATTGTTGCGTGCGTGCGCACTGCGCGATGGACTGAATATCTCGGGCGGTATTTTTATGAAATTGCCATTACATCGGTGCTCGCGCGAGAAACATTCGCAAATGCAAACATATAAATCATTATTACGGACACCGTGCGTTTTCTTTGAGCAAAATTGTAAGATAAAAAAGGCGAAAAAGAAACCTTCCTCCGGTTATAATTACGTGATTTTCTAAATAGAAAGAGGTATTCTTACGATGACCCTTCTCGTCTGTGTATCGTGCGCGATACACATTTTCACGCCGGGTTCGTTGTGCAAACGGTCATTATCCGGCCTATGCAAGAGAGTGTAAAACACTCGCGCTGGGATGTCGGATGTTCTCTGACGATTAAAATTTAATAGCGCGTTCAAAGTGCCGAGCTTTTCTTTTTTGTGACTCATTAACCGCTCAAGTATCTCTCGCACAATTCTTTGGAACATTCTTTATCGCACCTAAAAATTCCTTCTCCCCTCGTGTTTTCACGTGTAAACGCGCGCTTACAAGATTTTCCGCCAATTAGCCCGAAAATTACGCGACCCGTTTGCGCACTTAACTAATTATATTATCGACGTTCGCATCGTGCGAGAAATAATAACCCGAGCGAGAGTTAGTTTATTTATTTTTTTTTTAATTGTTTTATTTTTTTTATTTCTCGATTCGGAAACGACGCGACGATCTCTGACGTATGAAAACTCGAACGCGTTTATTTTTCTTCGGCCAACTGGCCGGAACACTGACGCAAATTGTTACGTATGCTGTAGATTACAGACTGACGTCAAATGAGATTTCACGGCGCTATTCAAAATCTCGCCAATGACGTCATAATGCGACGGCGCAAGACGACGCGCCGCGACGTTGGTAGGTAGGGTAGGTTAGGTTACGTATCGGTCTGCGCAAATTGAAATAGGTGTATTTGCGGAAAACCCGGGAAAATAAATCACACGGCCGAATTTTCTCGCAAAGTGGATATTTCCGATCGGGATTTATATCAGACTTGGGGAACACGTATTTCTTCTCGCGCCGTCTGTCTCTGTAAACTTATATGATATAACGCGCTCAACATTTTCGGCATAAACGGATCGCGACAACAAGCATTTGCGATACACACTTTACTGTCGTAAATTCGAACGATAAGAGAACTCACCCGCATATTATAGCTTTCACCTACAGCACAGCTCGAAACTATTTATATCGTTACTATAGCCAATATATATAGACTATAGCATGTACTTTATAAGTATACATACATATATATACATATATACTTTTTATAATATATATATTTTTTTGAAAGTATATATATATATATATATACACTTTCAGCAGATTATATTAACCTCTTACGGTGGTTGGGTTTCCTGATACTGCCGCGGCAAGAGATATATCCTTCTCTCAACACACAACAGAATTTTACGAAAAAAAGTAAGATAAAAGTAAAGTGTCTGCTGATATAGTGTAAATATAAAGTGTTTGAAATGTGTGCAAGGAGGAAAAAAACACCGTTACATCGATACATCTAAAGAAAACTCAAAGTATATATACACGCCGTTTTCATAAAACAATAACGAGCACGTCTACGTATATCCCGAGGCTATATTCGTGTGGAAGAGAGTCACACGGTGTTTCCGCTATCAAGGTGTTGCGTGCGCGCGTCGGTGAAGAAATGGCCGGGCCGCGCGTCGTATTGTAAATCTCCCGGCGACGTGAGCGTCATTTAAATTACCGGCCTTTGCGCAATGACTGCGTCTGTACTGCAGCACATCACGCGCTGTTGCAGTCGCAACAACGTGTCTCTCTGTGCGTGTGTGTCTCTCTCTCTCTTCTCCTCCTCTCTCTCTCTCTCTCTCGGTGATACCGCGCGAAGCGGAGGAAAAAAAAACGCCGCAATTTGCCCAACCCCGTTCATCGGCGCGATTCTTTTTTTTTTGTTTTTTTGTTTTTTGTTCCTTCTCAGCTGGAGAAACGTGCGCGGAATGATACGCGGATGCCACGTTTATCCCGTTCGTGCATCTGCACGAGACGTAAAGCGCTTGTAGGTATGTACATACGCCGCGCTAAGCAACACACGAGATCTACAAACGAGTGCTCTCACTCGCCGCGCCACGCAGTTCTCTGTGGTTTCGCTCGCCTCACGATATATTTCGCGATGCGGTTTTCCAGCTGATCGACGTGTCGTAGTATTGGCCGGATGAAAAGAATATCGATCTCTGCGCAAGTTTTTTTTTTTTTTTTTTTTTTTT